GTTTGGGGCCTGAGGATTGTTGTTGTTGTTGGTGGTGGTGGTGGTGGCCCAGTCAATCGAAGACAACTCTCGCAGCCCGAAGACAGCTCTGCTTTTCTTCCCTTCCCCGTTCCATGGAAGTCGTAGAATAGAGGATGTTTGAGAGTGCAGCGTTGTATCCACACTGAATGTATGATTCTTTATGAACCGTCGACTCCTTAGATATCTTAATGAGTTCACCACCGAATCTGTTTCAAGACGTGTGACAGACAACTTGGCAAACAGAAACCTCTCCAAGGATGGCTTCCTGTACGACACGGAGCTGCGCCCGTTCGCAGACAAGTTTGGCTTTGAGGGATCTGCCAGCGAATGGGTTCGGGACCAAGTCCGTTCAACGCATCAAGGCAACTGTGCCCTGACGGCATTTGTCGTTCCAACCAAACTGAGGCCGAGGAGCACCTGTGGCCTGCACATATTTTTGTCAGTGTCCTGCTGCTAACGACAGTCAACTCATGTGATTTAGTAGAGACTGTAGAGTTTTCTTTTGTTTAAAGTGCCATCGAACTTTCTTTCGCAGACATCAACGCAAGTGCAGGAGTATCAGACCCTATGCAACGAGTATCGCTGCTCACCAATGCAGGTACCCAAGGGCCCAGGGTGTATACGGTATACGCATCATCAGAGTTCCTATCGGAGCTTACCTCAATACCTCCGGACGAGACCACGATTCACTCTCGCACAAGTTTTTGTGGCCACATACCAGACCAAGTCGCAGAGTGGTTCATTTTTGGAGTAGTGATCATATGCAGGGCATGGACATGGTTGCCTTCGCAAGAATGCTCGATGATGAGTGCAGCTCTGAGAGGTCGAGGCATCAGGAGAGAGGTTGATTTGGAGGTGAAGGTCTTGGTTGATGTGGGCTTGTTTCTTGCTCTCTTATTGACATTCTTTCAAATGATTTCCTTCTTGGAAAGGATTTGCACATCCGTAAATCTTTCGGATGATTTGGAGCGATTTTCACATTTTCACCTTTGAAGATCTCATTTGTTAGATCTACTTCCCCAAGGCATGGCTGTCCTTTGAGCGATGCGGAGCTGGCCGGGTTGCTGCGTGTCGAGCCGAGTGGAAGTTGGACGAGTCAGATGGATATGACCAGGAATCCTCCAGCAATTGCACAGACTGGTCAGCGTGACAAGGTGAGTCAAACCAGCTTCCACGGGCTGGTAGTCCGGAACTCAGCATTTATGACAGTTCACGGCCCCCTACAGTAAATTGGCCATCTGCCTGGCGACACGTTGAAACACTTTGAATTCAATTGAAATCGCTGGTACTTTGCCGGAAACCTTGACGACGATCTTTTCACCAGAGGTATTGTTGATATCATTTGCTGATACTTGCAGTTCCCGGGCAAGCCGGCGGCGGAAGTTTCCTATAAGAACAAATTGACCTATAGGAGTGTTCCGGTTCTCTCAAACACGCGCGTCCCCCAGTCAAACGCACGCGCTCCGGACTTCAACCTTCAGTACAACTTGCCTGTTGACAAAACAATCAACTGTAACCAGTGTTGGGTTATGATGAGTGGTGTATGATGAGTGATGTATGATGAGTCTTGTATGATGAGGGGTGTATGACGAGTGGTGTATGATCAGTGGTGTATGTTGAGTGGTGTATGATGAGTGGTGTATGATGAGTGGGCAGCGAGAGATGACTCAGCAATGAGAGATGACTCAGACTCAGCAACCACAGATGACTCAGCAGCGAGAGACGACTCAGTCGCGAGAGATGACTCAGCAGCGACAGATGACTCAGTCGCGAGAGATGACTCAGCAGCGGGAAATGACTCAGCAGCGAGAGATAACTCTGCAGGGAGAGATGACTCAGCAGGGAGAGATGACTCAGGAGCGAGAGATGACTCAGCAGCGAGAGATAACTCAGCAGTGAGAGATGACTCAGCAGCGAGAGATGACTCAGCAGCGAGAGATGACTCAGTCGTGAGAGATGACTCAGCAGCGAGAGATGACTCAGTCGCAAGAGATGACTCCTCCGCGTACTAAAGTTGTACTGCAAAATGGCCAGTTCTCAGCTTCCAGCTCCACAGGTTGCTCCGCATACTAAAGTTGTACTACATAGTCGCCAGTTCTCAGCCTCCAGCTCCCCAGATACTCCGCGTACTAAAGTTGTACTACAAAGTGGCCAGTTCTCAGCTTCTAGCTGCACAGGTTGCTCCGCGCACTACAGTTGTACTACAAAGTCGCCAGTTCTCAGCCTCCAGCTCCCCAGTCACTCCGCGTACTAAAGTTGTACTACAAAGTCGCCAGTTCTCAGCGTCCAGCTCCACAGGTTTCTCCGCGTACTAAAGTTGTACTACAACGTCGCCAGTTCTCAGCTTTCAGCTCTACAGAATGCTCCGCGTACTAAAGTTGCACTAGAAAGTCACGAGTTCTCAGCTTCCAGCTCTACAGATTGCTCCGCGTACTAAAGTTGTACTGCAAAGTCGCCAGTTCTCAGCTTCCAGCTCTACAGATTGCTCCGCGTACTAAAGTTGTACTAGAAAGTGCAGCTCTACAGATTGCTCCGCGTACTAAAGTTGTACTAGAAAGTCGCCAGTTCTCAGCTTCCAGCTCTACAGATTGCTCCGCGTACTAAAGTTGTACTAGAAAGTCGCCAGTTCTCAGCACCAAAAGCGCTGCGCCTGCCACGAAATCTGTACATGGAGGTTCACAAAGTGCTGCGCCTGCCACGAAATCTGCACCTGGAGGTTCACAAAGTGCTGTGCCTGCCACGAAATCTGCGCATGGAGCTCCACAAAGTGCTGCGCCTGCCACGAAATCTGCACCTGGAGGTTCACAAAGTGCTGTGCCTGCCACGAAATCTGCGCATGGACGTTCACAAAGTGCTGCGCCTGCCACGAAATCTGCACCTCCAGGTTCACAAAGTATTGCGCCTGCCACGAAATCTGCGCATGGACGTTCACAAAGTGCTGCACCTCCCACGAAATCTGGACATGGAGGTTCACAAAGTGCTGTGCCTGCCACGAAATCTGCACTTCAAGAAACAAGTGAAAACTCTAATCCCAATGGAGGGACGTTTCCGACCATGCCCGACCATGATCCGAGCATGACCCGAGACCGTCTCGCGCCCGTCGTTCCGCAGAGCTAGACTTGCCAGGTTTGAAGCCACCGGTTCTATTGAAAAATACAGCATTTCGCGCGTCCGCTATCTCTCCAAAACGCATTTTGTATTGCGCCTGCCACGAAATCTGCACCTGGAGGTTCACAAAGTGCTGTGCCTGCTACGAAATCTGCGCGTGGAGGTTCACAAAGTGCTGTGCCTGCTACGAAATCTGCACATGGAGGTTCACAAAGTGCTGCGCCTGCCGCGAAATGCACCTGGAGGTTCACAAAGTGCTGCACTTGCCACGAAATCTGGACATGGAGGTTCGCAAAGTGCTGTGCCTGCCACGAAATCTGCGCTTCAAGAAACAAGTGAAAACTCTAATCCCAATGGAGGGGCGATTCCGACCATGCCCGACCATGATCCGAGCATGCCCCGGGACCGTCTCGCGCCCGTCGTTCCGCAGAGCTAGACTTGCCAGGTTTGAAGCCACCGGTTCTATTGAATCATACAGCATTTCGCGCGTCCGCTATCTCTCCAAAACGCATTTTGTATTGCGCCTGCCACGAAATCTGCACCTGGAGGTTCACAAAGTGCTGCGCCTGCCACGAAATCTGAGTCATCTCACCAGTGGTGTATGATGAGTGGTGTATGATGAGTCGTGTGTGATGAGTGGTGTATGATGAGTGGTGTATGATGAGTGGTGTATGATGAGTGGTGTATGATGAGTGGTGTATGATGAGTGGTGTGTGATGAGTGGTGTATGATGAGTGGTGTATGATCAGTGGTGTATGATGAGTGGTGTATGATGAGTGGTGTATGACGAGTGGTGTATGATGAGTGGTGTATGATGAGTGGTGTTTGATGAGTGGTGTATGATGAGTGGTGTATGATGAGTGGTGTATGATGAGCGGTGTATGATGAGTCGTGTGTGATGAGTGGTGTATGATGAGTGGTGCATGATGAGTGGTGTATGATGAGCGGTGTATGATGAGTGGTGTATGATAAGTGGTGTATGACGAGTGGTGTATGATGAGTGGTGTATGATGAGTGCTGTATTGAACAGCTGTTGAATGTCCGTAACACGGAAGTTTTGCACACTAAACTTCCTTTGATCAGTGCCAGTGTGTGCAAACTTTTGCCATTTGACTAGGGAAGTCTTCTTGGGCCATGGGCCCACAACGATTTGACAGGCTTTTCTTTCTTGGGGGACATGGTAAGGAGTAGATCTGGGAGATATCTTCTTGTTCTTTTGGAATCTCAGTCTTGACGAAGACAAAACCATAGTTTTGTAGGATTGGATTGTCATCGTTGCCTTTGAGGCTAACCCGTTCTGCAATTTTCCTGTCTGCAGCCTGTTGTTTGATGGGCCGGCTGGGTACCGATGAGGAGCCCATCCGCCCATCCGTCGGACCGCCAAAGTCGCTGGTCACCCACGCCCATGTTCGACACCCCGATCACTTGACGGATGCCAACGGCCCTGGAAGCTGGGGGCTTGTTTTTCCCCGGAAACTTGTACAGCAGGTGGGAAAGAACTGCACCGCTTGTGGTGGAAGGTAGTTGTGTTTGGTTGATGCCGTGAAGAAGGCAACCTGCATCAAATCTCAGTTGAAGGCCTTTGAGATCGGACCGGAAGTCTTCAAGCATGACTAATTCATTGATTGAGCCAGTCTTGGAGGATGACAGATTCATTGCACTCCTCGTTACGTTTATTTTTCTTTTAAATGAGCCGCCGGTTGCAGCACAAGAAGAGCGTTTAGCCAGTTGACCATGATATGAGATGATAAAAACATGTAAGTTTCAAGTTCGCCCCTGTCCGCATTGGCCATTGCCATGCCACTGGACCGTGAGCTCTCGCAGCGGCTGGAGAGGAGCCATGGAGAGGAATAAACACCGTAAAGTCACAGTGTTTTGGCATCAAAAGGTTTCTCGAAGAGACCAGTACGGTCTTCAGGGGTCGATACTTTCGACTTCCAAGAGTGTAGCTCAGAGGGATCATGAGGGATCATTATGGGCGTGTTGTTTTGGAGCTTGCCAGATAGGATAGATTGGCAATTGGTTTCCACCAGGACGCACCGGACAAGGTTCCTTAGCTCACTCACCATTGCAGTGCCTTGGACATGTCTTGAACATCTTCTCCAATACAATTGGTCCAATATCCCCTTCTCCGAAGCAATTCCCATCACTTCTTGGTTTCTGTGTTTGGGAAGATCACTCACTTGAGTAATGACCATATTCAAAAAACTCTCCCACCAAGCCCAAGATCTTTTTCCTCCCCCGAAGCTGCAGCTCCGATTTCTGCCCATGGGCCAGGGGGGAGGCCGAAGGTGACCTGTGGCCTCATGAGTAGATGACTTCGAGTGACGATCGTTTCCGCTTTTGAGAACAACAATTTAACAACAACAACAACAACAACAACAACAACAACAGTTTTCACAAAAGCACAGTCAACTTTTGTCACCCTACTTTGACATCGAAGGAGGCGGGGCCGAGCAGATGCAGATGCAACATCTCCTGCTGAACCCGCTGCCGGGAACCACAGTGGGCTTTATTTGTTTGATCTACAGTCATCTTCAGGGAAGTATCTTGCGAAGAGCATGTCAGGTTGTTGCAGTTGAAAATTTCTAGCTTGCCTCCTGGCTTTTCTCCAAACATGTATGTATATAGGCTTGCAGAATTCAATTTTGGGTCGCAAGAGTGTGTTTCTTCCTGACCGCTTTGCCCACGACTGACCCCAGGTGGACCGGGAACGCTACGAGGCGCACATCGATCAAGAGTTGAAGTCCAAGTTACGGCAGCAGTCGGAGCTGATCATGCGTTCCTGGGACCGAGCTCAGAGGGTGACACGACAGCGATACACGTTTTCGACGGCGAATGTTTTGAGACACACTGGACGTCCCAAAAGTGTGCTGATCATCGTTGGAGTTGTACAGTTGTACATTATAGTAGAAAGATGCAGCTGCGGAGTTTGATATTGTAAAGATGGTGCTGATCTTGATGACTTTGTAAAGACTCTGCTTGCTGAAAACTTTGTTCTTCTTTGTGGACACTCTTCCTTTCTGAATCTTCTGACAATGGTGCTGGTGATGCTGTTTGGGCTGCTTGCATTTTTAGCATTTTCTTTCAGATTGTAAACAATGAAGAACGTGTCAATATGATTGTTTTGTGCACCATATTTTTAACCTTTCAAACCTAGAAGCTTCCGCAGTGTTTTGCAGTGTTTTCTTACAAACACCTCTCCAAGGTTTTGAGCTACTCTTGCAAAAACAAAGAAATGACTACAGGTCAAATCTAGTCAACACCACTATGTACAGTGCTTTGCAGCATTTGTTTCCAACAATACACTCTGAATCCAATACTTTTGAAGTATATCGGGGATAGGGTTTGGAAAAACAAACAATTAAACACAACAAACACAAATACAACAAGAACACACAAACACAAAACAACAAACATCCAGGCACAGCCTAAACACTTGGTGTCTTTTGCTTTTTGTGTGCTTAGTTTTTGCATTGGACAATTTTACCTCAAGCAATTTGTTTTTCTTTGGGAATTACCGTTTGTGTTGTTATGTTCTTTTTTGGGTTTCACAAACCCTATTTTACAACACACGGAGTTATTTGTATATAGTTGATTTTGGAAAGCATTCTCACGTATAAAGTATTGAGCAGTTGTCATCCCTGGTTAACCCCCCCTGCACAAAGTTTCTCCCTTATTCACAATCTTCCCGTGTAGTACAAACATTTGCTCAGAGACGTATCTTCATTGACAAGACTTTTCTACTAAACTAACAATGCATAACCCCCCTTTCTTTCCCCTTTTTTCCAAGGATTCCATTTTATCCTTCCACAAGCCTACTTCTGTGTGAATGCCTTATCCTCCATATATGAGAGTGTTGTCCTTTATAAGGGCATCATACTTTGTGTTATTTCAACCTACTTTTTCTTTTAAGGATCTTCTCAATTGCACAAGTTCTCTCCTTTATGAAACTGATCATCCTACACACCCTTTTGCAAAAGCATCCATCAGTGCAAAAAGCTTGTTTGTAGAAGCTCAAGTTGTTGTGACCTCCTTTGTAATGCTTATTTACTCATTTCCCAAGTCTCAAGTCTTCCTTTTCCTGATTTTCTATGACTGTTCCAACATGCTGCCAACATAATGACATAGCCCAAGTATGGTGTGACCCTCAAACCCAGGCAGACATGCATTCTTGATGTAAAACATGGTCTTTAAAACGGTATTGGTTCTTCTCTGTAGGGTTGTCCTCCTGACAAAGTAGTATCCCTTTAAAGGTCTGCCTCGTCTATGTAGACAAATCCTAATCCTTCCATTCAACACTCTTTTGCTTTACCCGTATCCTTCTGTATCATAGTTTCCTTCCAATGAAGTGCAACACTTTATTTTTTGTCCTTTCCCCAATCTTTCCCTCCATCAAAATTTGCAATTTGCCTAGGTTTCAGACTAGGTTTTTAAAAGTCTTCACGCTATTTACAGTGTGTTTGAGGTCTTGTTTAACAACGTGCTTTCTCTCAAGCACACGGCCCTCTATCTTACGAGTACCTTTTTGGACAGTTTTGATCAGGTCAGACCAACTCGGGGATGAGCGACTCGTGCAAGAGACCGACTCGCTACGAGGCGCACATCGACCAGGCCGAACGGTGGGCAGATGGTTTCCACACGAATGCTGTTTCCACACGATTTGTTTCGCGCCTCTTCAGCTATTGAATGCTGGCCCAGCGAAGCAAGAGGCTAAGCAACCTGGTCCCCCAATGCAGGAGTTGGCGAAGAAGTTGCAGAAACGTCAGACGGAGCTGCAGCTTGAGGGTGAAGGCAGACCTCGGTCTACCAAGGCACGAAGCACACAGAGCGCCCATGTTAGGGGTGCAAAAGGATGCAATGCAAGGGGAATTGTGGGTTGAGGTGTTCGATTGCATTGCTGATCCTGGGGAGGTACTGGAACCGTTTTGTGAGCACGAGTGAAGCACCTGGTGTTTCTCATTGTTGAAGAGATTTCTGTCCTGCCTTCGTGAAACAAACATAGACTCATCTGAGAAGAAGTACGGTGGAATGTGGGAAGCCACGTCAGTTGCGCTGAAGCCAGCATTTGGGATCTTCGCACGTCCGCATTTATGGCACCAGATGATCAGACAGACTTGAAATGCATTGACATGCTTTATGTTTTCTCTTTCTGCTTTCTGCTTCGTGGTGCTTCTCCCCGCACCCGCAGGTAGAGGGCCTCCGTGGTAATTCCACGTTTGAAGCCCACATTGACAACGAGCCTCTTGGCGATGTCGGCCACCGGGATAGAAACGCAGGTTGGCTGGTTGGAGGATTGTCGAAATTCATTTATCCTTCCACTTTTGTGGTTTTGCACCAGCCCCAGGCCAGTCCCTTCAGTTGCCCTAGGCTCGCAGCCAAGCTGCGGAAACGGCTGGAGGTGGAAATGGCTCCCCAAACGGCCGCTCCTGCGGCTAGGCTCGAGAAAGACGAGGTGCGACAAAACCCAGGACTGACTGGGTGGGGCGCAAGACAAAAGACACCAAGAAACCAGAGTCAAAGAAGGATTGCCGAAAGCATCGAACTTCCTTGTCGCAATATCTGCTCAACGGAAGCTTTGCAGGGAATCGACATGCTCGACCTCTGTTGGATAGCCGTTTCGGTGCCAATCAGAGCTATGCCACCTATGCCAAGCCAAATACAGCAACAGTCGGGAAGTTACACGAGGGCGCCATGGGAATGACCGCGGCGACCCCGTTGCCAAAGCTGGGAGCCCAAGATTTTTGAAGACAACGTTTGTTGGACATCATTGAACACGTACTTGGACTTACTACTGGTACTTAGTCTGGAGGTAAACTGGTGGTCATGTGGCTTGCACACCTGATTCGGATGCATTCTGGCACCTCAACATAAATCACAGAATGTCCTTCAGAGCCTTCCCACGCAAGCCGCAAAACGTTTTGTTACTAACGCTGATGCGAGGAGCCATTGACGCAGCGCATTAAAACCCCGTGAGGTCCATGATGGCACAAGCTTTAAGGACCTGGACTGGCAATGAACTAATCACTGACGTCAGTCACATTGATGTGGGATCCCTTGCTTCGATTTGGACATGCAGCACACTGAAATGCAAACATGGAAGGTAGCACGTTCGGGTGAGTTATCCTGATGCTTTGTTGAAGAAGGGTGGATCACGGGCCATCACCAAGTCCTTGTACACCTTGCAAGGTTCTTGCATCCAACATCTTCCTGCAGATCTCTTGGCATCTAGGCCAACTGGAAGTCTTGGCGTCCTTGAACTTTTGCAGCTTGCACCCAACACCCTGTGGAAAGAAGACGTTGGAATCCCCCGAACCCAAAGGCCTAAGCGCAAGAAAACAAACAAATTAACGATTTTGGGGTGTTGAATTTTGGCAAGGAGACGGCGGTTAACGTGCCTCAATGGTTGCCTCACAGGGAGATTGAGGATAACAATTGGTTTCCTAATTTGGAGTTTTGTTTTGACTCTTGACCAACTTATGTGTGACATCTGTGAACTGCTTCAATAACCTCATTGGTGCACCTAGTTGGAGTGTTTCGTGAATATGCCTGCATAGATGGCTCCTGACAGGTTAAGGTTGGGATGACACCATCACGAGCAACATGCTTGACCGCAGCAGAGGAAATTTTGTGACTCAAATATGCTTCGCCCTCACAAAGACTGAAATGGCAATCGTCTCTGATTAGAAAACAACACGCTGCACTCGAACCACAAGCATTGTTGATTTGGTATGATTTGGTCAAGTGTTGCTTTTGGGTACCTTGAACGCAAAACACCCTCCAGCATGGAACGGCGACTCAAGGTGAGGATCCTGATGGCTTGTGGTGCCATTCTTTTGTTGCTTGCTTTGCTTGGGGTCTTGATCTATGGCGTGGTACACCCGACTCCATCCGGCCAACCATACGACCAAGAAAAGACCATCTTCACGACCATTATGGGTGTGTTTGGATTTGCTGGCATCATTGTATGCTGTGCTGGATGCTTCACTGCCGGCGATGAATACAAAGATCAGCCTGTAGGCACTAGGACGGGTACATCTGAAAGAGACAGCGCAATATATATGAGAGAAACGGTGGGCGCGGCTGACGAAGAGGCGGCTGTTTAACCAATTGTGATTCTTCTTGTGTCTCGAAGAGACCTTCAAATTTTGGAAGAGTGAACATACACAATTGCACCTGCTCTTCAGGCTGAGTGTGCTTTGGAGTCTCAAAGAGACTTTCTTGTTGGGTGACACTTTAATGGCCCTGGTTCAAGATCGATTTCGCTTGTATCTCCAACAAAGATCGCAAGTTTACCGAGGACAAGGCCGCTCGAAAGGAAAACCGACTGATTGAACACATCTAGTTGGGTTGTGAGATTACGAAAGCCAGCCTTCGTAGAAGGCGTCAGCTGAGTTGTGCTTGGCGAACGAAGTGAGTAGTTAGGGGGTCTGGGGGGGGTGGCCCGCAAAAGGTACACGTAGACTCGGCACATGCTGGGGGAGGAGGGTGGACGGATAGAAGGTTTTTTGAGGTGATTTTTGAGGGGTGGTGATGCAAGAAATGCAATTTGCATCATTTGCATCATCTGAATGGTAAGGTGTAGTTGGCACCTTGCCAGGTATAGATACCCAGGGCAGCTATAGTGCAGTTACCAGGTATAGTACTTCAAGTTCCCTTTCCATCAACCGCTCAATAACCTTTACACACGCACAGCAATCCGCAGCTTTGAAGTCTCATGCGCGCGATACCTGGGAATAGAATTGTAGCTACCCTGGGTCCGTACAAATGCTATGTTGCTATACCTCTTACACACCTATATAAGTTCAAAGCACCAATGAGACTTCAAAGCTGTGGTTTGCTGTGCATGTGTAAAGGTTATCGAGCGGTTGACGGAAAGGGAACTGGAAGTACTGTACCTGGCAACTGAATTCTAGCTACCCTGGGTATCTATACCTGGGTAAGAAGGGGGGTTCGGGGGGAAGTTCAATGCAAGAATGAGACTTCAAAGCTGTGGATTGCTGTGCGAGTGCAAAGGTTATCGAGCGGTTGACGGAAAGGGAACTTGAAGCACTATACGTCACTATACCTGGTAACTGAATTGTAGTTACCCTGGGTATATATACCTGCGCCAGCTGAGTAAGAAGGGGGGTTCGGGGGGGTGGCCTGAGAAAGCACATTCGAAAGTAAAAACGCAGGCTTTCGTTTTGCAGCTTCTCAGGTTTTGTGGGGTCCAGTGGCTAGTGGACAGGTGAAACTTGGAGAAACACGGTCTCGTCATGCCCTCATACCACAAGAGACTGTTGGTAGCATGTGAGGTTCGTTCACCAATTCGCCTGACATTTGTTATATTTGTTGGAGTTTTACCACCTTCGAGCAGCTTTCTTGGTGGCACGAGCTATTTGCAAAAGATCAGCACATGGTCGAGGACGACCCTTGAACTCTTTAAATCACCTATGTGACCAAAGACCAAGAGGATGTCCAAATTTGGGAACCCCGGAGTTCAAAATTGGTGCCTTATTATCGATCATGTATCGATGAAAACATAGGACAGCAACACATTGGTAGCCCAATTTCTGGGTGAAGCTTCGTGGATGTTCCCAGTGCTTTTGTCAATTGTATTTGCAGCCCTTTCAGGCCTATGAATTTGAATTCAGAGATCCCCAAACTACAAGGTGTGTGTGTGTACTAATGCTAGTTACTCCTCTTGTACTTTCTATAGCGGGGGGACCGTCCATGTGCTGTGCACGATAGTCCAAGGAAGCGGCGACAGTACATGCAGATATCCCGGCTGATGACCGTGGCGTACCTGCGTACCTGCTTGAGTTTGTGAATCTTGATAGTTACGTCCCACTCTAGAGTCTTGGAGGCTGTTTCCAGGGTTGGTGAGGTCGTGCTGCAGTAAAGGCCGCATTTGGCAGACTGCACTTGTCGTTCGATCCGTGTTGTCGAGTTGTTGAGAGCTGTTGAGTGCCTTTGACATGGAGGACCTTTTCTACCTGTTGCATTTGGAGACGGTTGAACTCTACTGCGTGCTACCTTTTCTACCCAGGCAACTTTCTCCATTAGGCAACTTTAGGGCAAACTGCGCGATCAGAGTGCGGTGCGTGTGCGTGTGCGTGTGCGTGTGCGTGTGGGTGTTTGTGTGTGTGTGTGTCAACGGGACATTGGTGCCCAATCGCTGAGTCCCATGCTTGCCCAAGTTCACCACTTCTTCTGCGCAAGACAGCTCAACCTGTGAGACAGCACAACCTGTGCAGGCACTTCCGCCTCCACGGTGCTGGAGTACCTCTTGCATCACGATGATGTGCGGCTCAAGACTCTTCTTGATGAGTGCGAGCAGCGGATCAGAGACTGGTAAAGTTTGAAGTCGTTGAAAGTTGGCAACAAAGCCATCCAACCTGGAGTTAAACATGTTTAAAGATCAGTCTCTGGTAAGACGCCACGGGGACCGCCAACAATCTCCAACAGCTGGCACGGGGAAAAAGGTTTGTATGATGCGTGAAACACATCTGAAATGACTTTGCCTTGTTCAAGGGAGGTTAAGGCGGGTAAGGCAAGGGTTTGGTTTCACGTTTGTTTGTTTGACTGTTGACCTTTGCAGACACCGTATGGCAACGACTGTAAGTTTGGACTGTAACTCCTTGCTTCTTTGAAGTACCCCCACACTCAATTGCCCTTGGTGGTGCTGACGATTCTTTGCACCCGGCCCTCTATCAGCAAAAAATATACATGTATATATATATATATCTATAAATAGACAAAAACACATATATCTGAATAGACACACAATATATATATATATAGACAATATATATACACAGTATTTATATAAACATTATACATACATATAAATCATCATTCCAGCCAACGTGTGACCCTTGACTGTAGCAATGGCTGAAAGAGTTCTGCGTTGCAGCAGGGTATTGCAAGCAGTAAATCAAACCGATTGCTCGACGGAACGGAATGGCCAACCAATTCGGGGCTGTTGCTATCACCAACGTGGAATCACCAAGGATCAGATCGAAACTGGACCAACAAGTCTCGATTTTGAACAGTGGGTCGGAACTCATGGCCCATTCTTTGGAGCGTTCCCAAGCGCACATCTTGGGATCGTCACTTAGGGCTCTGCCTTGAAATGATGCATAAGCCCAAGGATGCATAAACATACTATAGGTATTTCTACATCCAAACATTGTGGGCAATCCTCATGACTCATGCCACGAGGTCCTGCCAGAGGCTGAAGAAGTTGTGCTGCTTTCGTGCGATGCCTTTGTTGGGCAATCTGCCTGTGTCTTGCGGGTATGGTGGTCACTGGTGCAGCTTTGCATATGCGGCGTATGCTGCGCTTTGAGCAGGAGATGGAGACGGAGACCTGGATGGAGAATTGGCGCAAAGGTTACGCCAGCGCAGACAAGTGACTTGGATGATGCAGATCGCTGGCATTGTTCAGCTTCATATAATCTCTCTGAACTTGAGGTTAGCTGAAAGCTTCAATTGTCGGATGCAAAGACCTGAAACACTGGATACAGTTATATATATATATTGTTACTACTAGTAAGGCACTTGTTACTACTAGTAAGGCACTTGTTACTACTAGCGATGCACCTGTTACTAGTAGCTTGTTATATATATCCTGCAGATTCCGACAGATTCTCTCACCAAAGATCTCCCGACCCGTCGGACACCTGGGCGGTCAGAGGTTGTGAACGCACAGGGGGACGTTTTCGAGAAGGGTGCGCAGCAACAGGCGAGGCCGCAGATGGCTGAGGCGAGATGATAGAGATTTTCGAGTTGACAGCTGAGGGAAAGAACATGTGTTATCTTTTAAGGACAGACAGAGGAGGCCTAGGAACTATTCTGCGTCCTGAGTCCTGTGCTTCAAAGTTGTTCGTGTACATGTAGTTTGGTTTGCAAACTTGGACCTTTGGTCACTTGACGAGGTCCTGGACCAGATACAGAGCATACCTGAGACCAAGCAAAAGCGCCGAGACGTGACTGAAGAAGGGTAAGTTCTTTGCCAATGTTGGAGAAGATTCAGACGACTCATATGTACTTTCCATTTTTGTCAATAGGACCCCTAAGACACAGGAATTTGTGCTTCTTCAAGTTTGCCTCTTTCCCATGTGGCTATATTATTCATCAAAACAATTGTTTTCTTTTTTGTGGCTGCAACGAACAGGTGAATTTGCTGACAATGTCAGTCATGGTCAGGTTATGTCCAGACTGCAATATTGAAAGAGTCATGTAGAGTACTCAAGCTTGGTTTTGATGAAGATTGGACATCGTCACATAGTCCAACCTTAAGTCGTTTTGGGAGTCGTTTTGCTTGTTTTGTTCGGTGGATGCTTCGGTGCTTGAAGGATTTTGGTGGCTATTTTGCTGCTCATTGGTGGTGACTGCTTATGGAGCTTACCAGCTGCAGCCTGTCGAGTGAAGGTGTGTGAGAGCGTCACTCGAAACGTTGGACCCTGAGCCATGCGCTTGAGATTCTGCCGCGGCAAATTCGTGCACTCCTTTGCCTGAAGCTTTAAGTGGGCAAAGGCAGAATTTGATGAATTGCAAGAGACCGATATCTGGCATCAAAAGCCAAAAGTTCGCCAAGAGCCTGACGTGCGGCGGATTCAATGAGCGACGCTGCAGCGAGACTCGCAAACCTAAGAGCTACATGAACGAGTTGTAGATGACACTCACACCGTCAATCTAGGCATGTATGAAACTCAGAATTCAGTGGCACCCAACCAATCTACTGAAGTCGTTCTGAGCTTCAGAAAAAAGGACACATGTAAAGTGGCAAAACATCGTCGTAGACAGCCTGTACAACAATTGAACTTCCATCATGAAGCTCTATGTAGGTATGTTTGGAGGGCTATTACATTTGCCCCGCCCTCTTTCCTGGTACGTGACAAGACAAGCTGGTCTTTTTGGCGGGCAGCTGGCATTGGATTTTTGTGCATACACATACGCGTGGCCCACAGACATTCCTGCAGCCATGTGTAAATAGCATGACAAGCATATAACTATATATATATATAGCTGCTTCCATTTCAAAGAGCCAACCCTGTTCGCAGCTGGAAAAGGGTTGTAATTACAGCTCTGAATGTCTAGAGGGACTTCAAGTATTGATGATGTGGTCGGGCTTTGCGGAGATGTGAAAGCAGTGCTTGGGATGACATTGATGTGATACAGAATCAAGCCACTCAATCAGCCAGCAAGAATCTTCTCAAATGAGTCAAGAACCCAACTAGGGGACAACCGCCCCCATGGCGCATACCTTGGCACCGTATTTGGAGGCGCAACAAGAAGAGAAAAAACACAGGTCCTTTCTTGTATAGCGATGGAGGGGTGGTCATCTTTGGTGAGGTCATCCGCCACACGCTGAATGCCGCCCTTTGCTTGCAGAACTACCCGTCGCAGGCGAGATCGAAGCCAGGTGAGACGCGAGACGAGATGTCCGAAAACGTTTCAAGGTGGTGGAGCGGCAAAGTCGGCCTGAGATTGAGTTCAAGGCCTGACCTCATTTGCAATTGCTGCATTCATTGGCACACAAAGGTCTGGAGTGCGATTCAAAGGCTCAATTTTCTTTCTGTGCAGTTGGTGCAATTTCAGTACCAGTTCCCTTTGCTTGATATTTTTCAAAGTCAAGAGCCAAGAAGGAGTGAAACAGAGAAGCTGGACAGTAGGGGAAGGATAGTTGAGAGACATTCAGCAACTCACCTGACCTATGCCAAACACGCAGTACCAATGTGCTTTTGGCTGCTGGTTTTGCCGGACGATTTCAAGCTGCGACGGAGGACACTGCGGCGGTGATCCTCAAACCGCTTGTGATTGCGAGGGATGAGAATGAGAAGTGTTTGATTGCGACTCATCTAAGTCAAATGCAATGCCGTAATGGGAAGCTTGCATGCTGGATTCAGAATCTGCTTTTGCAGAATCCTGGAAGTTCTTCGGGTTCCAAAAGTCGGGGTTGACTGTCAGCAAATTGAGCACCCACGGAACTCTTTTTGAACTATCCAGTAAACTAAGAATTTGATGAGGGCGACCAAGTGGACATGATGGAACATCCATGGGTCGTCCTGGTTCTGGTCACAAGTGCCCCTTTCCAGCTCGAGCTGAGGAAGCTTCGGTGAATGCGGTGAGAGTCAGCATCAAGGCGCATCAAGCGGCGCGAGTCAGCATTTGTTCATTATGTTGCCCATGATCGCTGCGTGTTTCGCTCCATTGCCACGTTTGGTACTCCTTGAGTTTCACACGACGTTTCACCCGACGTTTTATCCTTTGGCTATATTCCAGATGCATGGCTCATGGCACACACCCTTTACATAACCCACCTTAGGGTGAAGGGGCTTTATATAAAGGGGCGGAGACTTCGTTGGACCGCAAATGAGGTATGCTTGGCAGTTCATTCTGTTTGCTTGACCACTTACCACTCCGACAACAAGACCCCGACACTGAAGCAATCAATTCCTGCGTTGATGGCATTTTGTGGCTCCAACACGTGTAACACACCAGATGAAGCCATCAACTGTAGTGTATAACTGTATATATTCAAGCTCAGCTACCCTTCAATTCTTTACAGTGGTTCTAATGACGATCCCCCCAACACCGTTCATCAACGGTCTACCTGGGCTGTGGTGTACGTCACTGACCACTCGGTTGATGGTTTCCAAGTGTGTAAGTTGAAACATGTCCAGGGTACGTGGACAACCGCTCCTGCAGGGCTATCAGCCATTGCTTGGATTGTGAAGAACACCGTTGATATCCCTAAACAGGTCATCATCATCGCCGATAGTGAATACTCTATTAACCAGATCCATTCTGTTGCCACAGATGCATTCGAGATCATGCCACGCAATTCCGCAAATGCAGGCCTAATGTGTCTAAAAGCAACATATTTGAGCCCGAACAAAGTCTTCCTAAGTTTTCCTTCGCATAAGGCATCAGGCATCATTGAACTGATGCTCGCTCCATGAGTAACAATGCTGCGGATATCGCATCGAAATGCACTGCAAGCATCCTTCGTTATCCACAAGATTCGAAACAGGGTAGCTTGGTTCCAGACTATCCCAAGAAGGGTATCAACGTCTTTGGATGAAGATAAACAAGGCTCTTGACAAGCTGAATTTTTTGAAATCGCGCGTAAACACATCGCTTAAACACATCTTGCAAGTTTCAAAAAAAAGGGTGCCTTCTAGCCGCTAAATTTGATATTCTGACTCTGCACATCCAGCAGCCACGTGTTTGGGGTGGAAACGGAAGAGTACAGTATCATTTTTTTGGGGGAAGAGAATTGTGATGTTGGGAGATGTGTTTGTCCATTCATTCCAAATTGCATTATCAGCTGTACAACCACAAGTCTGTAGAAAATCTATACAGCCGTGCTTGCCGCTCCAAGTTGATGCTATTTCACCTTTCTCCAATCTCACTGACCAGGATGATTTGTTTACATACTTGTAGCTTCTTTGGACTGTTTCTCTTAGGTGTTATTCTGGTCTCCAGTTATGATTTTACATACAAAGACCCCAGTACTCGTTTAAGCTGAACAGCTGAAGGGTGAGGTGGTGGCGTTCAGACATTTTGCAAGTATTCTTATTTGTGAGAGGTCTAGGGTTTTGAAAAACAGCCAAATAGAGATGAGATGTGCAAACATATCACCCAAGATGATGCCCTGGAATCAAGCTGGCTGTTCAGGTGCGTCAGTCAGATGACACAGAGTGTCTTGGAGTGCAAGGGTTGTTGCAATTACAAGTTCTAATGTTAAGTTTCCCCAAAAATCTAGACACCAAATCATTGGTGCGTGAGCTATCCTGTGTCCTAAGTAGTAGCTACTTGAGGTAGTAGCTACCTTTCCTTACTAGCTACCGTTTGCTACTACCTCTACGGCCTACCCCCCCCGCCCCGGGCTTGTTACTACTAGTAAGGCACCTGTTACTACTAGTAAGGCACTTGTTACTAGTAGCGATGCACTTGTTACTAGTCAGTTTCACGCATACTGAGTTTTCTGCGCAGTCTCTGGTGATACAACGCCTACTCTGCCGAGGAAGCTCCTTTGTCGCAAGTTCGCCAGCTTCTTCACTCAGCGAGCGGAGCATTTCGTGATCCTACGGCGAAAGCCCGTGGAGGGGTATGACATTAGCTTTTTGATCACCAATACCCACCTCGAGGTGGGAAGCCTACGAAAACGCAGACAGAACTCAAGCCATGCTGATATCATTGCTGGGCCTGTAGGAGATGTGCTGATTCTCTGTAATTGCCATTACATCATCCAGGAAATGATGAAAGATCGCATTGTGGACTTCATCATTGAGTTTATGGAGGAACCGTAGCCGGCTTATCTTTGGCGTTATTCAAACATGGACATCAAAGGCTTAAACCTTGGTTCCTGGAAGTATTGAGAGTTTGTTTGGTCTCCTTAGCAGCTGTTTCATTCCTCAGGCCACTCGTGATCAGCTCCGAGCGTGTTTGCATCAAAATTGGGGATCCCTCAACCACGTTGTTGTGGTTTGCGGTTTAAGATGTTTTAAGGTTTCCGAACGCCAAAGCAAACTCAATTTGTCTTTTTTTTTGGGGGGGGGCAGTTTTGGGTGGCAGGACGTCGACAAGGAGATCAAGGACTTGAAGATTGCGTTAAACACCCGGCTTCGGGCCGCAGCACCAAAGCTGCAACAAACCACCCTTGTTCAGACTGAAATTTGTGGAACATCAGGAGCCATTTTTTCACATGCCTTTTGGGCGCGGCAAGGGTTGGATCCAATGGCACCATTTGGAACCATTGTAAGAGTCTTGTTATCATTTCACTTGCCTACTGTAAGAGTCTGGGAGTCTGGGATGTTATGTCCTACTGTGCACTTTCATTCTTGATTGATCGATCAGTCTTGTCCCTGGTGTGTCAGAACCCTCTCTTGGGTTTACTTGGGAATTGGCATTGCAGGCATAGATAGTTTGATCATCTATTTCCGACATTTTGCTGCCTGAATCGTGAACCTCTTTGATTTTGTCATGTTAGCCTAGGCGGCAGCGTACATGTCGCAATTCTCTCAGAGAGGCTGAGAGTGGCGGCAGAAAATACTTCTGCCAGAGTTGGTTCTCTTGAGCGGAAAAAGAGACTCAGAGGTTGAGTTGAGTTCCTCAGATCAGACCTCCAACCTAGAAGCAATGGCGTCCAGCATAAGAGCGACGGCCGCCAACCAGAAGCCGTGGCCTCCAACCTACTAAGAGCGATGGCCTCCAACCAATGTCGGTTCGGCCACACCCGTGTGATGTGCCAGGATCAGACGGTTAGAGACATCCTCAGACATGGCTGAGACTGCCTGAACGACACATTGAACCGGGCCCAACCCTTCCAACCCTTCCAAGGCATGGTGGGTAGAGTCAGACTTTGGCTCTCTGCCCCTCAATGCAGTTGACGGTTCATCGCGGCGTTGCTGCGGTGGCGGACTCGTCTTTTACGGCATCCACTTTCCATCAAGCCTTTCGGCGATGGCTTCGCACACATGGCCTTCCTCCCTCCCTCATTCAGGAAGCCGACGCTTTCCTCGACCTCCAATGGCGCCAACTGGCCCCGGGCTGCACACGGGTGGAACTGCAGAAGGCCATTGCCAGTATCCAGTGCGGCCCAATGCACACTCATAACACATGGGTAAATCAAGCAGACCCAAGAAGAAGAAAGTGTATACTTCCGGCCCAAGCGCCTCGCTTTGCGTTTGACAAATGCATTTTTCAACACGGTTGAGGGCGTAGGCTATTTGCCCACTAGAAATGGAACTCCGCACAAGCAACAGGCAGCAACAGGATTGCTTTTGCAGTTGCTTGCTACGTGCGGTTCCATATGTCCTCATTCTGTGGTTCTTTGCCATTCAAAGTGGTCTTCCGCCCGTTCGTCGCTGGCGCGAACGATTCACTGGATCTGCTCACTCTGTTACGCTGAGTCACTCGGAGTAGCGGGGAGGTTTGGGTAGGTTTCTATCTTGTGCATACACGCTGAGTCCAAATTTACTTGGACACCCTTCACATCCATGCACCAAATCACCCAATATCCCAATGCACACCGACCGACTCCACCAGCTAAGCAGTGCAAACCAAATTCATTTCTCATGGTTTGGCGTGGCCGTGAATGGTGCTCCGATGGAGCGGCAAGCCGAGTGTCGTCCCAGCTCCGAGCCTCCCATCTGCTTGTAGCAGTGGAGTGCTTCCAGCTACGATTCATTCAAGTTCCCTCTGTAACTTTCGTAGGCGTCGTGGGTGTCAGCCACAAGCAATGCTGTGCAACAGTGTGCATAGTGAGTCCTGCCCGTATTCTTCCCCAAATGTGGTGGCATACTTGTGAGTGGGTACGTTGGTTTGGTACAAGCGTGTGAACGACGCGTGTATGCAACACCCTCTGCGCCTGTAAGAAGAACGCCAAAACAAACCACTCAATATGTTGTAGTCAAGTATGCCTCATCTCTACCATTACGCCCCAACAGCAGGAATTTGTTGGGGTCAGTGCAGTTTTTTCCTTTCCCCGAAAGCCAGACATGCGCGACTCCAAGTCAGCCAACTTGCCAGCCTGACACCCTCATCAACGGCTCTGCCCAGCCAGGCGGAAGTCGGCAGTTGCAGAAGGAAATCCCACGTCGGCATTGTGCGCATGGCCCACGTGGCACTGAATCTGACGCGCAAAGAAATTCTGATTGGGAAAGGGTCGGAATCAAGGTTTGCTTCGGGCTGGCTGAAGGTGTTGAGGCATGCATTGCGCCAAAGTGTGGGCACGAGGCGCAGGTCAAGAGCCGGATCCCGCATATGGTTTGTGGAAAGAAACTAGTCTACGCCTGGCGTGCCGTGAGAGACCTGTCGTCCCTGGCGATCTAAACCAGGTGTTTTCTACCAAAAGGCGCCACGAAAGTTCATTTATAATTTATCATTGTCATCTCCTACCAAGTTAACACCGCGCCCATACATGAAATGTTCACCTGCAAAATCGACGGGGCCCGCCGCTCAACGACCTTGCTGTCCCGGTCGCTGATGGAGCAGCAAACTGTCGTACAACACTAGCCGACTAGGTTGTGTGGGAGGTTGCCCGGGCAAATGCAACCTGAGGTGACTGCTAAGTAGCGTTTTTTGTTTCATTCAGTCCACCTGCGTTTTCCTGTTACTTCGGATTCTGGAATCATCCGTTGTTTGTTCACCCTTTTTTCCCGTTATCCATCGCTTATGTTTATGGCGTCGAATCAGTAATGATGTTGCGATGTGTTTGCAATTCGCGCCCCAATTGATTTCCATGCCTCGTGGACATTCTTCGTTGAAGATGCGTTCATCACATGGCCGGTGAAACTAATGGCATGTCGTGTCATCGCCGCCTTTTGAAAGGTTTTTGGCGTTTAGAGTGCTGATGGTCTATCCTTTGGCCATCTCTTTATCCACCGCGGATCGTCGGACAAGTCAGGGAGCTGCATTTACTGCATGGCACAAGAAAGAACATGCCGAAACAAATTATTTACGACGGGACGATGGCATTCACTGTGAACTCACCCAAAAGCTTTGAGGGCATGCATTCGCATTTGTTGTAAGTGAAAGTGCAATGAACGTTTTCATGAATATACAGATATACAGCACAGCAGCAGCAACAGCAGTGGAGAGCCATGCCTTGTTTCTTTACATTTTGTTTTTTTAAAGATTATATTTGCATATATTTGCGGACATGTCATGGAGCCATGCCTTGTTTTTGACGAAAGCGGTCTCCGAACGAGGTCAGCTGAAGTTCTAGTTTACGATTAGATAGGTCAAAATCGAAGGGATCAATTTAAAAATAATGTGTTCTTTTCTGTTTCGGATTCTGCTTTTGCTGCTTTTCTGCTTCTGCTGCTTTTGCTTTTGTTGCTTTTCTGCTTTTTGTGTTTTTGTCTTTCTGCTCTTTGCTTTTGTTGCTTTTCTGCTTTGGCAGCTTCTCCTTTCTCTTTTTGTTTTTGCTTTTCCATTTGTTTGCTTTCTAACCTTTGGATCTGGTGTGCTGCTGGGGGGCGCAGCGCAACGAAATCTGCACTTCATCTCCGACACCAGCGCCTGCAACGAAATCAATTTTTAAAGGTAAACTCAAGGCTCAAGGGGGCAAACATTCTAACCAACCATATATGCCTCCTGTGCTTGATATGCTCTTTCTCTTTATTGTTTCTCTGCTAACTGCACCAAACTGTTGTGATAGGTAGGAATTTCTCTGACACCTATACTATTCCAATGTATTTTGCCAGCTACGACGGCTCCCAAATTAGCCTAATCAGCCAGCAATTAATATGAAGCCTGCACTATTCCAATGTATTTGGCCAGCTACAACACCTGCGTCTCTGCCAAGGACACGAACTTGCTGCAACTAGCTAGGTACTAATAAGAAACCTGCTCTATTCCAATGTTTTGAAAAACTTATCGAAGCAAAAACACATTACACATTAAAAGTGCACCCATTAAAAAATCAGGACACGCCCCCCCCTTCCCCCCGCTTCGCGTGAAGCGAATCAATAGGACCTCCTTCCCCCTTTAACGAAATGAAGCGATATTGATTCAGGGCCCCTCCCCCCAAAGGGACACGACACCACAAACATCATCCCCAGAAACTTTTAAAGGTGTTCTCACATTCGTGTTTGTCATCGCTTTCGTTCCCCGCCTTTCAAGTTAGGATCTGTTGAGAGTTCAACACTGGCAGCAAGTAGGCGGGGTGTCAACCCTCAGGTCCAAGCAAATGAGGTCTTGGTGCACTTCTCGGCTTGTGCGTTCCCCGCACGGCCGCCGCAGCGGTTTCCACAGCTCTCACGGCCTGTCGGTGGCCCATGGCGTCAAGTTAAGGCGCGCACCCTCCCTGGCTTCGAGGCGCGCGCGGCGACAAGCTTTCAAAAGCAAAGGTCATGCCAACATGTTCCGCGGCGCGGAATTCACAAGTGGCGAGAGGGAATTTTGATTTCCAGCTTGATGTCTGGCCGGCACTGCAGATTCGCCCAAGAGGTCTCCGCTGGCCGTGCTCCAGTGTGTTCCTGCTGAGCGGCAAGCACTGGTCCCAAAAAGTGTGGGAACAGCAGCTGCAGGGGACTCTCTGGTAAACCAAATTTGCGTTTTTGCTTGCAACGCATGCTTGGTGTGCATGCCAACAAGCACCTTGCGCGGCCACAGCAACAGATCTCATGGAAGCTGTTTGCTTCTCCACTTTCAACCTTTGTTGAAGATTCAAGTGATGATCTCTCTTCAAACTCTCATGGGCGGCAGCCCAAACAGGACACGCCGACACCCATGAGCTGCCTCATGGCCTTTGGCCTCAGCTTCTAGCAAGTTCATCACGAAGTAGCCGAATGCGGCGTTCCAGCTCTGGAGCTTCTTTTCGAAGCTGCGTGTTTTCTTCACGAAGCCGCCGGGGAACAGGATTCTCATCATAGCTTTCAGTCTGGGTGGTGCCATCACCAAGGTCTAACCTGTTGAATTTCTTCTTTGACAAGGTGTGCAACCAGCTCATCACTTTCCACACAAAGACCCCCACAAAAATGGTAAAGAGGATCACAAACAAGATGCCGCGATCATCTTTCCCATCCGTGGTCACGACAGTCGACCGGGCATAGGCGGACCGGGTGAAGTAGCCAGCCAACATTGAAAAACATCGCGCTGGTCGTTTGACAGCAGACATTCAAGCATTTTGTTTCCTCTGCTTGGGGCACTTCCTTTTGGAGGATTGAAAAGTTGTGTCGCCCTTTAGCTTGGTCAGGTGTGACCGGAGACGCTGGGCGAACAACATGGCAACACTCTGTTTTGTCAGTTCATCAGCGCATTTGCAGCTCTGAGGAAACCCAGATGATTTTCCCTCCACAGCAAGCTAGGAAACGGGTTTCTATGGTGATACGTTTGTTTGCACTGGTCGCCATTTGGACCTCGTTTTTGGTGAGGACATCGAAGAGAGCCTTGGCGTCCACAACGAGTTTTGGAATTGGAACCAGCCTGCCAGTCTCAAGGCTGTTGAGGGGCCTGTGTGGCTTCCAAAACAAGTTCTATTTGCACAACAAACTCATCGAAAAAAACATGTGGATTGGCCAGACTGGGCTCAAGATCAAACCCAAGTGGCGCAACAAAGCCAACAGAGACTGTG